CAACCAGCAACACCCAGGGGTTACTCCTGGCTCTGCATTCAGGAATCACTCCTGGCAGTGCTTGAGGGACCATATGGGATGCTGGGAATCGAACCCGGGTCGGCCGCATGCAAGACAAACACCCTACCTGCTGTGCTATGGCTCCGACCCATAGCCTTTAGCTTTGACCAAAGTGCAGGTCCCCGCAGATTGAGCACTAGGGGGCTGCCGCCCTCTTTAACCCACTTCCTTTGCCTCCCCCCAGAAAAGGAGAGAACAGAAGGATGACCAGGACACTATGCCTGGCCTCACCAGGCATACGTGGAGCTCCTGTCCATGGACCCTGGCCCCCTGCCCCTCTCCCTGGACCTGGTTCCCATGGCCCTATCTCACTTTGGGTCTTTCAGCACATACACAAGGGCTGGAAGGGTGGGGGCCAGGGAAAGCCAGGTCTGGCCTGCTGGGGGGGAGTCACACCCATATGGCTTGCCCTGCTTTTGGGATTCCCAGCCCCCCACTAGGTTTGGGCCCCGCTTTGCCGCCTGAGGCGTCCCACCTCCCTCAGCAACTTCCCTCACCTCCTCCCTGCCGTCTTTGAGGGGACAGAGGGGGGCCCAGTGAGGTAGGGTGGGACAATAGGAGGGTAGGTACCAGTGGAGGGGCTAGATGTGCACCCCGAGAAGAAAGCCCCCTTTTTCCCTCCGGGGGGCGGGGGGGGGATGCAATGGCTTGGCGCTCACCCACGGGGCAGGCAGGGATCCAGACAGCGCCCACCTCCCTCCCTACCCTGCTGTTTGGGCAGACCACCCTGGACCCCTCACCTCGAGCCAGGTTCCCCGAGATGAAGCGGAAGAAGAAGCTGATGACGTCCCCCAGGTGCTTCTTGCAGCCGTGCTGACAGTCCCGCAGCCTCATCGCCGGCCCCCGTGCCCACTGCGGGGACTCGCCACGCCCAGACATCCCGGGCCCAGCGCCTGCCTGTTTGTCCCTGGCCTTCTAGAACCCTCTCTCCCCTGGCTCGGCTCTGCCTGAGCCTCTGCCTCTCTCTGTCTCGGCCTTCTCTCTTCCACTCTGTTCCAGCCCCAGCCCTGACCTAACACTCTCGGTTCCCCGACACTGGGGGGCTCTTCCAGCAGCCCCTCCTCCCGCCCTGGGCCGGCCCTTCCTGGGTGCTGGCTCTGGCTCTGCAGGGCCCCCGGACTCACCCGCGGCTGCAGCTTCCAGGCGGGGCTGGGCTCTCCAGGGCTCCAGCACCCAGAGGAGGCAGCGCGGGTGTCACTGCCACTGAAGGTGTCACCTCACAGCCCAGCCCTGGCCTCCTCACAGCCCTGCCCCGACCTACCTCCTATCTGAGGGGCGGGGGGGGCGGTGGGTGGAAGTATGTGCAGGCTCTGAGCACAGCGGCAACACATTTGGGACTTGGTGGACTCTTGTCCTCTGACCTCTGACCTCTGACTCCTGTTCACAGACCCCCCCCCCCCAGCCCTGTGGGTGGCTCCATAGAGCAGAGGGTGGGACATGGGAAGGGGTCCCCCTTGATGAGGAGAGAGAGGGAAAGCCAAGGGAGTGGTGGATTAGGATTGGCAGACATTTACTGAGATTGTTCGCTCCGGTCAATGGCCCGGGTGTGGGTCACAGAGAATAGCATCTCAGTGTTCGATCTCTCCTGCTCGGACACCCACAGCATCTAGGCTTTATTTTAGGTGGAAATATGCCCAGTTTAAAACAATTTAACAACAACAAAAAATCTCTCTACTTCCTTTGCAGTAAAAGATGACTCTGTTCTGGACAGTGAAATGCCAGCACAAATCTTCCAGAGATTTCTGTAGCCAAGTTGCTTCCCTGATGCAGGAGTTACCTCTACCCCCTTCTACTCAATATCTTCTTCTTGCCATGAATGAAGCCACGATGGCTGGAGCCAAAGCAATCACCTTGAAAATGTGAGGAAAAGGGCAAAGAACCAAAAACCTTGACTCTGACATCCTCAAGCAGCTAAACTCACGCCAGCCACCGCCCAGCTCAGATTTCTCCCCAAGCTGACAAGTACACTTGTGTTCGGGCAAAGCCATGGTTATTTGGGCTTTCTCTCACATGCAAGTGCAGTGCACAGTCAGAACATTCTGTCAGGAATGGAGGAATGGAGGCTCAGGTGTGCCTGGAACCTTCTCAGACCTTCCAACCTGTGCCAGCCACCAGTGAAACAAAGCCCAGTGAAGGATCACTAGGAAGGCCCTGTGGGGGAGAGCTCTGTGGGGGCAGGGTGTGGGAAGCTTTTCTCCAGACCCGTGACCCAGGCTTCAGAGAAAATGAAACGGTTGTTGTTGAAGCCACGTTTCTGAGTATTTGATCCCAGAAGGTAAATGAGACTTTCCTCCCTCATCATGTGGCTACACTAAAAATGTACTTTCAGGCCAAAGGCCAAAGCAATAGTACAGCGGGTAGGGCATTACCTTGCCTGCGGCCGACCTAGGTTCTATCCCCGACAACCCATATGTCCCCTGGGCACACTACCTGAGTGTAAAGCTAGGAATAAGCCCTGAGAATTAGCAGATATGGCATAAAAACCAAAAAATAAATTTAAAAATTTTTAAATAAAAAAATAAAAATGGACTTTCCTCTGAAACTTCTTGTCACTTGTCACCACCCAGACTCTGAGCCTTCAACTTTGTACACTTTGGGGGCTAGAGCAGGGAGGGCACTTGCCTTGCATATGGATGACCCGGATTTGGTCCCTGACACCTCTTAGAGTCCTCTAAGTTCTGCCAGGAGTGATCCCTGAGTATCGCCAACTATGGCCCCCAAACTAAAACCAAACAAACAAAACCAAGCAAAAAACAACTTTGCATCCTTTTGAACAGTTCTTCCAGAGCCATGTAACTGGATTTTAGAGAAATCTGTGCAACTTTCTATCCAAAATGGCAGCACATGCTCGGGACATCCTGTCTCCTGAGTCTTGGTGCTTTCCACAGGTGGACATCTATGCGTGCAGCCACAGGCAGAGACAGTTAATCTAACTGGTGTCCCCAGACTTTTCCACTGTCACCTTTTATCAGGGTACTGGTGGCAGTAGTAGGGCGTTTACCTTGCACGCGGCCGACCTGGGTTCAATTCCTCCATCCCTCTCAGAGGGCCCAGCAAGCTACCGAGAGTATCCCGCCCGCACGGCAGAGCCTGGCAAGCTTCCCGTGGTGTATTCAATATGCCCAACACAGTAACAACAAGTCTCACAATGGTGGCATAGATGTGGCTGCTGGTGACTGAGGGTCTCCCCTCAGCATCCTGGGCTCACCTGTGTGTGCAGGGAGCACCTAGGGCATTTGTCCAGTATCCTGCGTTTCTACCAAAAGCCCCAGGATTGAAGCATTTCCCATCACACAGGCAGGTGCTGGCCTTGTCCTGGCCTCAAGGACATGCTATCAGCACCTGCAAGGCTTTGTGGAAGTGTCCCAGCAGCCTCTCCTCACACACCACCTGACTCAGCAGCCTCTGCCCCGACCACCTGATGTGAGTGAAACTGTTCTCTGGGTTCCAGGGTGAAGCAACCAGCCCTGTAGGCTCTCGACAAGGAGGGTTGGACGGCTCAGCCTGGCCCCTGGGGAGGTGTCAGTCAACCTGACCAAAATCAGATGCTGGGCAGATGCACAGAGCAGGTAAGAGCCACGGACCCTGGGTCACTAAGCGCACAACCCTGCGGTGCTGGGGAGTGAGGGGCCTCTCAGCCTCACGTCTAGCTCTCCGGGTGGGTCCCCCTGTGCCCGCTTCTGGACAGGCCCCACCAGCTTAACGCCTTCACCATTGACTAGTTTCAAACTCTCCCTGGGGCCTCCTTAGCCAGCTGGGCCCTTGCACCAGGCCTGGCCTCTCCTTCAGAGAAGCCCCGCCTGGCTCCCCCAGCCTGGGATTGGCTTCTGCTCCCAGTTGTCCCAGAACCCTTGCTCTCTGGCCACTTCTGCTTCGTGGAAAAACCCCATCAAGGGCAGAGTCTTGGCTGCCTGCCCAGACACGGCTGCCTGGGACACTGCACTGAGCACCTCTGAAAGGCCCTGATTGTCCCCTGGACCCTGAGCCCATGGGGCCTCTCGGAGGAGCAGAGACACCTCTTCTGGGCACCACTTAGTATTTCACAAGCACATGGAGCCTTGGCGTGGCCACGCCCACGACACACAAGGACTGTCCCAGGGACACACACAAGTCTGGGTGAGGAGACAGGCATGTGGGGTGGGGGGTGCTGCCTCCACAGACCCTAGAAGCTGCCACATCCCCCAGCCTCAGGCAAAGGTGCGAACATGACCCGGGCGACCCCCAACTCAGTCAGGCAAAAGCTCTAGGCCAGGAGCCCTCAGTGGGTGCAAAGACCTGTGTCACTCATGGGTGCCATTGTGAGTCACACTCACAGTGTGTGTCTCATGGGGTTCTGAGTGTGTCGCCCACAGTGTGTGCCTCACGGGGCCCTGAGCGTGTCACCCACAGTGTGTCTCACGGGGTATGCCTTGTCCCTGTATGTGTGTGAGTGTGTGAGTACAGCAGTCTCCTCTGTCTCCTGCCCGTGAGTCACACCCTGGAACAGCAAACCCTGTTTGTCATGGCAGGCAGTCCCATGGGAGCCCAGAGTGTTTCTGAAGGAGCTGGGGGGTCCGGGGCACCTGGGTGGGAGTGGGGGTGTCGAGTCAGGGGGACGCCTCTTCCCAGGTCCCCCAGGTCACTCCATCTCCCAGCAGCCCTGCAAATGGGTGGGTCCCTGTGCACAGGGGTGAGGGGGCCTGAAGGAGCAGCAAGAGCTGTAGGGGGCAGGGGGCTGCCCCTATCAGACCAGAAGCAAGGAGATCCCTGCAAGGTGCAGGGTGTGGACCTCTCCCCCCGTCTCGGTGGGTCCTGCCGTGAGCAACCCAGTGCACTGTGGGGGGAGCAGATGCTTCATGGGTGGGGAATTGTTGGCAACGCAGCCACCCCCAGGATGCAGCCCAGAGCAACTGGCCCTGCTGTCCCTCACCCCCGAGCCCGCGGGAGCAGCCCCCGCCTACCTGAGCCCTGTGGGGCGGCGCTGGACAGGATCCACTTGACCAGGCAGCAGCGCAGCAGGGCCTGGCGCGTGAGCCTGGGCCTCTGCCACTTGACCCCGTCCTTCTTGCTGAGTGCCGTGCGGCCGGGCTCGCCCAGGAGGCTGCCGTCAGACAGCTTCATCACTTCCTGCAGGGGGACAGATGGAACCCTGAGCCTGGATGAGTGCTGGCACCCCTAGTCCCAGCCAGGGAATTCCTGGGCCTCTCGGCCTCTCCTGTCAGGTTCCCTTGTCCCTTGGTGGAAAGCAACCAGGTGTGTCCAAGAGGAGAACCAGGTCACTCTGGCTTCTCTGAAACCCCCTTCCGGGCCAGCCTGCTCTGTACACTGCTGAGTCCTGGGGTCCTGATCTGCCTGGGGTGCCCTGTCTCACCCCTAAGGAACCTGGTGGGGATCAGCATCTACCACCCTCCCCACTCTGCACTCTGATGGGTGTGGACGGGGGTCTGGATCGAGAGTGTTGACTGGGGCGTTAAGCAGTCACCCTAACACCACCTAGTGCCAGAGCCAGGAGGTCTCTGGGGTTCACAGTCTATACCCCATCCCAACCCAGGCCCAAAGGGACAGCTGACCCCCCAGGCTCATGTAGCCCAGCGGGGTGCCCCCACCCCATTAGCTGCACGCCCGCTTTCATGTTCTACCTGGAGACAAGCCGAGGCTGAAAGGAAGATGAGGTGGCCTCTGGGGTGGGGATGCCTATGGTCCCCTCATAGCAGAGAGATGTTGCGGAGAAACGATTCAAGGAAGAGCAAAAGCATCCCCCAGGGAGATCCTCAGGAGGTTTAGACTCCAGACAGAGGCCCTGGGGGGGAGTTTGATTCTGGAAATGGCATCCCAGGCAGCTCTTGGTCAGTGGCTGCCCCGTGGGGCGGTGCCCAAACTTCATCCCTGTGGCCTTCCCCAGCCAGCCCCAGCTCCCGTCCTGGTACTCATCATTGCCCAGGCCACCTATACAACATCCCCGCACTCCTCCTTGTCCAATTCTTCATAGTAATGATGGGTGTCAGAGGGCCTCACAGCACCCCCACACCAATGGGACAGAAGAGAGGCCAGCGGGGGGCACCTGGAGTCCCAGAGTGCCAGCTGTACTGAGGAAGGTCCCCTACACACTCATGCACGCACACACACACACACATACACACACGTGCACACATTCATGAACTTGCACATGCATCCTCTCCAGGCTCAGGAAAGCGCCTTCTCCTCCCTTATTGGCCAACTCACTTGAGAGAGAAATGGCCTTGACCAACAGTCTCGGGCTGGGTGCCAGTAGCCTCACCTCTCAGGGGTTCTTCCTCAGGCTCTGCTCTTGGGGTAGGTGGGAGCCATGGGGGGGGCGGTGGGAGCTGTAACGGGCTGCCCCCTCTCAGGACTGCGGGCAGGGAGAACACAGCCCTGGGTTCGGAGGTGCAGCTGGGCCCCTGGGGGCCACACACAGTGTGTCCGTGGGCCTGAGGGCCTCTTTCCACACTTGAAGGGCAGGTCACAGAACTCAGGGTCGCTCACACGCCACGCCTGCCACCAAGTCACGTCCCTGGCCCACTGGCAACCCTCCTAAGAAGCTGTCAGGCTCCTCTCCAGCACGAGGCGCGTGCATTTCACATTTTTATCAGCCATGCCCGAGGGATGCGGCTTTCTGCATTGTCGCCACTGGCATTTGGTGCTGTCACTTTAAATCTGTCTCATCCATTCTGATAGGTACCAGTGATATCTAATTATGGTACAATTTGCATTTACATGATGACTAATGGTGTTAAACATCTTTCCGTGCGCTTATTTGCCATCTGTATGTCCTCGTTTGGAGATGTCTGTGCGTGTCTTTTGCCTATTTTCTAAGGGGAGGCCTTGTTCTTTTACTGTCAAGTTTGGGGAGCAAAGGCCTTTGGGGGGGTCTCTGAATACCAGGCTCTGTGGTGGGGAAGAACTCATACAAAAAGCCAGGACCAGACAGAACTAACACTGGGTGGGGGGACGGGATTGGTTGGGGGGGGGAGACAGACACGGCTCAGAAAGCAAATGGATCCAGAAGCAAAAGCATGCTGTGAAGTTTGGAAGGCTGCGGGGGAGCATGTAGGGAGCTGAGGCAGAGGTGGGACTCGGCTCAGAGGCTTAGAGAGAGCAGTTGACCTTTGATGCTCAGGGGGAATGCAGGTGGGAGAGGCGGAGGGCTGGTGGAGGAGGGGGAGTGAGGGTGGAGGAGGGGAGGGAGCTTGGGGAGAGGAGTAGGGGAGATGAGGGAGGTTGGAGGAGGAGGAAGAGTGGGGGAGGGAAGGGAGAGGGAGGATAGGGAGGGAGAGAGGGGGTGGGAAGGAGGTTGGGGAGGAGGGAGACTGGGGGAGGGGAGGGGGCGGGAGGGGAGGGAAGGTGGGGGAAGGGTGGAGGAGGACAGTGGGGAGGGAGGTTTGGGAGGAGGGAGACTGGGGGAGGGGAGGGTGGGGAGGGGAGGGAAGGTGGGGGAGGGATAGAGGAGGAGGGTGGGGAGGGAGGTTGGGGAGGAGGGAGAGTGGGGGAGGGTGAAGGGGGGGAGGGTGGGGAGGAAGAGAGGGGGTTGAGAGGGATGTTGGGGAGGAGGGAGACTGGGTTAGGGGAGGGCGGGGAGGGGGAAGGAGGGTGGGGAGGAGGGAGACTGGGGAGGGGAAGGAGGTTGGGGAGGGTTGGAGAGGGGGGTGGTGGGGAGTGAGAGAGGGGGTGAGGACCAGCAGCAGAGTGGAGGCAGAGGTGTGAAGCAGCCTGGAGGGCTCCAAGCAGAGTGGAGGTCCTGGTCTCTGTGGGAAACCCTGTGTTTCCCACAGGCTGTGGGAGGTCCTGTGTCACTTCCACCTCCCCTGATTGCAGTTCAGTTGCCCCCAGCTTTTCAGCAGTTTAAGGGCAGCTCTCTGGTCCCCTCCTCCAGCTGAGACCTTCTGCCTGGGGCCCGGACACTCCCTGAGGCCTTGGACCCTCCCAGACAGCAGTGTCAGGTACTCATGAGGATCTGCCACTCTCAGGCCTCTCCCCACCATGCCTTGGGCTCGTGGGCCCCAGGTTCTGCCATTGGCACTGGCACTGGCATTTGGTGCCCTCAGCCACACAGGCGAGTGCATGAGGGTGGCCTGTCCCCCAACTTCTCGTGTCACCCTGATGAAAGGGGCTGCAGCCCTCCAAGCATCACTGGGTGCTGCCCCCAAACACCAGCACAACAGGAAAACCCAAACCTGCAACCCCATCCAACCTGACACTTGTGGGCTTGAGCATTTGTCCCAGCAAACAAAATTTCGAGCATCAACGTTCATAGCCGATTTCTTTGTAATCACCTCAAACAGGCAATGTCTGGGGTGTTCTTTTTTGGTCTCTGGTTAACACACTGGTTCTCCCAAACACTGGACAACTGTGCACCAAGGGGAAGCAGGTGTGGTGGATGGAGCTCCCGAGAGTCATGCCCAGGCAAGGAGTTGGTTCTCACGAGGCTTCAAACTACCTGCGTCCTGCTGTATCATTGTCAGTGACAGCTCTTTAGAAATAGAACAGAGGGGCTGGAGTGATAGTACAGCGGGTGGGAAGTTTGCCTTGCACACGGCCGACCCAGGTTCAATCCCCGGCATCCCATATGGTCCCCCAAGCACCACAAGGAGTAATTCCTGAGCGCAGAGCCAGGAGGAACCCCTGAGCATCTCTGGGTGTGACCCAAAAAGCAAAATAGGAAAAAAAAATAAAGAAAAGAAATAGAAGAGAGCTGTGGGCCAGGGCTGCAAGATAGCAGGAGAGGCCGGAGAGTTAGCAAGTGGGGAGGGCACTTGCCTAGCGTATAGTCAACCCAGGTTCGATCCCTGGTACCTCAGATGGTCTTCTGAGCCTGACAGGTGTGATTCCTGAGCACAGAGCCAGGAGTAATTCCTGAGCAACATGAGATGTCGTCCCAAAGCAAACAAGACAAGCTAACAGGAGGACAGTGTGGCTCCAAAAAGGCCAGAGGATTGCTTTGCACGTGACCGCCCCTGTTCGAATCTCCTTCACCACCTGTGGTTCCCTGAGCACCACCAGGAGCAACTCAAGTACAGAGCCAGAAATAGGCCATGAGCGCAGCCACGAGAATCCTCCAAATAAAACAAAAAGGACAAGAAGAGGAGACACACAAATTAATCTCGAAACTGAGCAGTTTGCTGCAGAGATGCCTCCGGACTTTGCAATAGGCTACTTTCACCGGGCTACTCCAGATGGGAGTAGGTGCTGTCCCTCCACCTGCCCCCTAGGAATCCCGGCGGCTGCCATCTCCCAGAACTCAACGTAAAGTCCAGGTATGCAGGAGCAGTAGCAGCAAACGCCAGGCCTCATGGGATAGGGGAGGAGCCGGTCCCTCTCCTTCCCCCCCCCACCCCCATGGGACCCTGAGATGATGCCCATGAACTGCCCCTGACTACTTATTAAGCTCCTAAACAGCCATGATCCAGAGACACAAACAAATCTCGGAACCGAGCAGCTAGCTGCAGAGGTCTCTTCGGACCCTAATTATTAAAATTTTCGAGTTCCAGAAGTGCACGGCTGCTCTCATGGCCACGCAACATTATATGCTATTCATTACAAGCAACACAAAACAAATTGTCTGGCATTGGCTTTTCGGCAGGTTTGAGTGTTGGTGGGAAAATTCCAAATAATAATGGTGGGACTGGTGTCAAAATATTGAATGTAATCAAAGTAGAGAGAGAGTATTGTGGAAATTGTCTGCCACACAGGCAGGGGAAGGGCTGGGATGGGGGGGGCGATACTGGGGATTTTGATGGTGGGAAATGTGCACTGGTGGAGGGATGGGTATTTGATCATGGTATGAACAAAACTCTGTCACTATCCTCCTGTTGTTCATCGATTTGCTCGAGCGGGCACCAGTAACGTTTCACAACAAAATGTGAAACTTGTTGTTACTATTTTTGGCATGTTGAATACGTCATGGGTAGCTTGCCAGGCTTTGCAGTGTGGGCGAGATACTCTTGGTAGCTTGCTGGGATCTCCGAGAGGGGTGGAGGAATCAAACCTGGGTTGGCCATGTGCAAAACTCATACATGAAGGCTTTGTAACTGTATCTCACAATGATTCAATTTAAAAAGGGGTGGGCAAGAGGACGGGTCTGGTGGGGACCTTATGATGGCAGGTAGCAC